GTCTTATCACTCGCTGGCTGAAGGTGTTTTGTCTGTTTGTCGTTGAGCAGTGGAATTTTCTGAGCATCTGTGTATTTGCTCTTCTTAGTGTTGGTCCTGTGTTTCTATTCTGTTGCATTGGGAATATGTCTAGGCTATTCACATCATATAAGTTGTTCATATACTTGAAAGTTTCTATTATGTCGCCTCTAAGTCTCCTATAGGCTAGGGTTGTTAGATCTAAAGTTCTGAGCCTTTCTGAATACGATAATTCTCTCAGGGATGGGATAATACGTGTAGCTCTTCTTTGCACATTTTCAATAAGTTCTATGTTTTTCTTGGTGAATGGATTCCAGACTGAGTTTGCAAATTCTAGTTTTGGTCTTATAAGTCCATTGAAGAGAAGCTTAAAAGAATTTTTGAACAATAATAGTACAATTGGAACAGCGTATACCATTGCGTATGTGTGTATTACAACTGGATCAAACCAGAGATCAATCGACGAAACATTGAGGGAGAAATCGATCGATAAGGTAAACTATGAAAAATATGTCTGTGCAAGACTACATGGCATTTCACAAAAAACGATTTTTAAAAATATCATCAAAATGCGTGATTTGCGTGATATTTGATAAGACACGCTAAATTGATGCGTGATTTCTATTTTTCCAGCAAATGCGTGACAATCACGCCTAATGCGTGAGGGTTGACAGGGCAGTGTACAGTATGATCATACAGTGTTTTTGGGTAACTTCGTGGATATACTTAACAGTAACCCCAAAAGATTTTCTTGCGGGACAGATTTTTTAGACCCAGTGCCCAAAATATGTGGGATTTCGCGTGACATTTAAGGGATTTGGGTGATTGTGCTAATAGGCCAAATTTCGAGCAAATTCGCGGGATTTCGTGGGACCATACAAGGGACCAACATGCTAATTGCGGGACAGTTAACAGAGTTACCACCAAAGACTTCATAGAGGGACAGAATTTTTAGACAAAGTGCCCTAAATTCGCAGGATTTCACAGGACATCCACCTAAATTTGCGGGATGTTGCGGGACATTCAAAGGATTTGCGTAATTTGGACTTACAGGTTTAATCTGCTGATTCACTGGGAGTTTGGCAGCACTTTTGAAATTAAGCTTTACTCCTCAAAAGTGCAAAAAAGCTTCTTATATCACAAGATATTCACAATATTAGCCTAGGGGATTTCAAGGGGAAATGTATGCTCTTACTCGAGTCTCTAGCTGACAGCTAGATGTAACTTCATTGATTTCGTATGTACTCGTATTTCGTATGTAAAAATTGCTACACGCACCTAGAAATCATTTTTAATAAATTTATAAATATTTTAAGAATATTAATTATATTTAGGATGAAGCGTTGCTTGTCTGGATTTAGATATTTCAAAAATTTTTTTCGGAGTTTGACACATGGTGAAATTTTCTCGCTGTAGCTAAAAATGGCTTCTGGTTCCGGACGTAAATAAATGGCGGAAACTTTGAAATTATTCTCGCTTAAGAAATCGAATATAACAATAGATTCAGACGGGGATGTGTGCTGATGTTTCTCAAATCTATACATAGAGGTATATTTCATATTATTATGCCGTATTTACAGTGCGTGTGACACAATGATTTACAATATTTACAATACCAAGGCAGCTCAATCTTTCTACTCAAAGCCGGAATATAGAGAAGGCTTTGGACCGAAGTAAGTATGCTCCCTCCCTGTTGTTGCATCCGAGAATGCAATATTGCCTTGGCATTATTTTGAATTTTTCTAGATTTCCATTCAAATTTCCTGCGAAATTTATTCACTGAACTTGGGCGATAGTGGAGGAATGTGCACACAGTGGTCATAAATGCATCAAGAATGTTTTTTTCCAAAATGAATAGAGTGATGTTCCTTTCGAAACATATTCACTTATGTTTTTTTATTTTATTTATTTATTTGCCAACACTTTTATAACAGTGGCACATGGATTATTATCCAGTGCGGCTACATACAACTATACAATATGAATAGAATACAAAGTCATGTTATAATTTCTTTAAAACAATGTTGCAATCTTGCCCCCATTTTGAAAAAGTCTCATCACCGAGAATAAAGGTCAATTTTTCAGTCAGATTGCCCTTAATGAAATCAGAAAATAAATCGGAGGGACATTGCTTACAAACAGTGTGGAAAAAGGATTCACGTTCTTCTTTAAAATGTTCACACAGCAGCAACCTATGCTGTAAGTCTTCATGTACATTCAAACTACAAAGTTTACATTTGCCATCACTTTTGCCCCATACAGAGTAATTGGATTCAAGGCAAAAATTGTTGGTTCTTGCAAGAAATTTGAGTCTAGAACCATAAAAATCAAAGTCTTGTTTTAGATAATTTTCTTGGTATGGATGGTTCTTAAAGGTGGAATAAGTATTTAGAGATTTATAATGGGAAATGTCATCAATAAAATTAGTGGTGCGTTCCTGTCTACAAATGCATTCATAGGTATTGTACCACTCACAGTCATCTCGAAAAAGAACGTCATCAAGGCCCCTCTTGATTAAAATAGACTTTATGTTAGACACATATTTCCAAGGGGCTTCATTACCTTCACTATGTTGGTTTATCAAATGAGTTAAAACCTTATGGGGTAGGGATGAATGGGCTAGGTCAAACTTTAGGTATTTAAAGTAGGCAATTAGTCGTTTTTCAATTGTGAGGACAATGGGAGTCCAACCGAGATCTCCCAATAAGGCTGGTCTTGCGGGTTTACACTTTAATTGTAAAACAGCTTGCGCTGCTCTGTATTGTATTGACTTCATCAGAGCTATGTTACTTTTGGTAAGTGTCCATATAGAACATCCAGATAAAATTGCAGACTCAATCATAGAGTGATATATTGTTTTTCCGAAATTTACTCTCTTAACATTGCAATGTTTAGTAAGAGTTGATGATAGGTACCCATTTAACATTCGTGATTTCTTAGATACATGTACATCAATGTGATGAGAATCTTTTAAGTTCCTGTGGAAAAAGGTTCCCAAGTATTTATATACATTAACTTCAGAGAGTTTTAGGTCGCCAAATTTCCACAGTTTAGTTGAATCAACTTTTTTTCCAATGACCATTACCTTTGATTTCTTTTTGCTAAACTTAAAGCCCCACTTTATTCCAAATCTGTTAACAACGTTCAGAAGGAGTTTAAGGTCTTTACCAGATTCAGCAGTTAGGACAATATCGTCAGCAAAGAGCAAACATGGGATTTTGAAGTTCTCAAAAGGGAGCCCTGTGTCAACCGATTTTAGGGAGTCCTCTAGGTCACTCATGACAACTATAAACAAGGTTGGGGAGAGGATACAGCCCTGCTTGACTCCGGTTTCAGAGTCAAACCAGTCTGTGGAATTTTGTCCAAAAATTACCTTATTTTGAACATTATTATATAATTCTTTCAAGACACGCCATAATTTACCCTGGATACCCTTTTCCCATAGTTTAATAAATAATAAGTCTCTATCTAACACGTCAAAAGCTTTTGAAATATCAATAAATGATAAATATGTTTTAAGACGTTTTGATTTTCTAAGAGAACATAAACCTTTCAGAGTGAAGACATGATTTTCAAGTCTCTTACCCTTCTGGAAGGCTCCTTGGAGGTTTCCGAGAAGACCATTTTGTTGAAGGAAGTTCATAATTTTAGATTCCAGAAGGCTGGAAAAGAGTTTGTAAATATTGGATGTAAAGGTAATACCTCTGTAGTTATCAATGACTTCAGGATCATTTTCTTTGTGAAGTGGTTTAAGTAAGCCTTGCTTCCATTCATTTGGGATGGCTTCATGGTGCTTTATGAATGAAAATAAATGGAAAAGAGGTTCTGCAATAAAATTCTTTTATTCTTTAAAAATTCATTTGGGATCTGATCGATGCCAGAGGCTTTACCATTTTTCAAGTTGGATACAAGTAATTTTATGTCTTCTACATTAATGGGAATGTTAGAGAGGGCATTTTCAGATATATCGTTTAAAGTTTCCAATGATGCAACCTTTGCTGCATTACCATCAGAGCTAGTTTTAGGATTTTTATTATTAATGCCAACATTTTTCCAGTAATTCAATAACGTTTCTTGAACTTTCTTAGGGTCAGTAATAATAAGCTCGGGATTTTCAGGGTCTTTAATTTGAATAGGGTAATTGCTTCGTTTGTTGAACATGGTTGGGGTTCTCCAGAAGCTTCTGGATGATGCAGTTTTGTTTTTAGCATTTAAGGTTATTACTTTAATGTGATTTTTAACATATTTTTCTTTGATCTTCAGAGAAACCTGTTTTTTCCTTTCAATATAAGTGTCCCATAGTTCCTGTAGAACATTGGGGTTGGCAGATTTTGACTTTGACCAGTACCTATAAAAACGATTGGCTTCTTTCCTACTGTATATAAGATCTTTGATTTCATCATCCCAAAAACTTCGACAATCACTAGAAACAGATTTTACACCTACTGACTTAGTTCCAGCGTTTATAACTTTAGATTTCCATGAGGACCATATACTTTCAACATCATTATGTAGACGCCAAGGACTCTTATCTCAAGGATAGAATTCACAAATGAAGCAAAAGTTTTGCTAACATAGGGAAAATACTCTCTAAAATCTCGAGGTCAAATCTTAATGCTTTGGCCCTTTGATTTTTGGAACTTTCCCATGGAATGATAAAAGGTCTAGTTAAAGCCTTGGAGATTTTACATGGCATGTTTTCTGCAGTTTTGGAGGGGAGCAATAAAACTTTTATCCTTAATTATATGACTTCAAATTGTGCTAAAATAGCACATGTCATTAAACAGTGTGATACAAATCAGTGCGCCAAATAAAGCTTTTCAAAACGAATTCTTGGAATATGAAATGCATCATCTGTGAGGTCAGACACATTGTACTATGAACTAATCTAAGAAAAATCCTCATAGCCAGAGGGTTACATTTTTTGTGGTCACCCTGTATATTGAAAATCATCGTACAATTCACATCAACTTTGTTTGCAGATTGTCCTACTGAGAAGCTCCCTCTTAGGAGGCGGGACCAAAGCAGAGTGATTGACAGACATAAACATGCCCATAAGATAACTGCTGATGATGATGAAGTTATACATTTAAAAAGGTTATATCTTTAAAACTTTATATTTACTATATATGTCATTATTCTAATAGTAGAGTAGTTGTATATATTGAATTGACACCCTCTGTTTTTCTATCAGTCAGTCCACCTGTACAAGCATCCATTCCTGCAAATAACTCAAATTTTGTTGTACCAAATAAACCTATTTGTGATGGGAATGTTATGTTTTGTATAATCTGTACTTTGGAAATTTGCATAAGACATATAAATGCAAAATACAAGGTAGGCCAAAAAACCTTTACATCTTTCATTTGGTAATAACTTGTTAATGTGACAATCTGAATTCTATGCATATCCATGGTCAGTATCAAGTTATCATTCTAATAAACATTGTAATATCAATGTGTTTTCAATACGATGTTTAGTTTCCATCTAGTGATAAAGCATTTGCTTAGTTTGTCCCCTTTACATAAAGTAAATGTTTTGTGTTTCTTTGTAGACCCGATGGTATAGAGAGGCAATACAGGAAAAAATGTAAAAAGTAAGTAGCATTTGTTCGATCATGGACTTTTCCATGAAGTGTTGCACCGTCGTCCTTATTTTGGGGTTTAATTCGCTCAAAAATGTTTTTGCCTGTAATGTCCTGTACAAGTAGAGTATTTGCATTTTTTCAGCCTAAACTATAGCTGAAGATAACATGTAAAATGATGTTCCAGGTGTAAATGTAATCAGCATTTGAAGTTGCTTGTAATGCAGTGGCATGATTTCCTTTATAATCAGTCTTTTAATGATAACTACCAAAGGGAATAAACTCTCCTTTTTCTCTTCCACTGCAGATTTGTGGCTTTTCCAAAAGAATTCCTATCAACAATTCAAAACATCAAAATTGTTCACCTTTTGAAAAGTAAATGAAATAAATAAACAAGAATATTGTATTTGATGGCTTACAGCTTTATGCATCTGTATCAGCCCTACTTAGATCCCTGTATTGTTATTTTAGGTGTGGTTTATGGCTGTATTACCAGCACCAGGATAAAGGCGCAACTGTTACATTTATAGTCGATGGGGCTTTAAAGAAGGCTGGAGAAGGCCCAGTTAAGGCCAACATATACAGCCAGATCTCAGACAGTACAGAAGCTAAAAAGGTAAGATTTCAAATATTGTTTGTCTTTGTGTGTACATTTTTATTTTGTCATCCCCACAAGTTGGTGGTCTTCGTTTGTAACAAATGACAGGTGGTGACATTTTGCTTGTTAATGCCTTGTTTATTTTTTATTTTGGATTATGAATGAATCTGCATCAAAGTATTTATCACATCTTTACAATGTTTTTTTGGCATAACTCCAAACACCATAGGCCAGATATTGTCACAATTTATATGCACGAGACGTTTTGCTAAAATGTCGAAAATACTCAATTCATTGATTTAGTTTTACAAAGATTTGATATCCATTTTCTAAAGTACACCCATTTTTATGTCACCACCAAAAAGTGTTGACATATTGTTATGGTCTCCAATTTTTTGTGACGGCTGAAAATTCTTGGAAGTTCAAATCTGACTTTAGATTTGGGATTTGACCTTCAATGATCTTCTCAAGGTCAAAAACTTGCTTCAAATTGGCCAATTTTTTCGAAATCATCTACAAGCTCTCAGAAGTTCAAATCTGACTTAAGATTTGACCCTCAATGACCTTCTCAAGGTCAAAAAGGGTCAAAAATGTATTTTTCAACATGCTTCAAATTGACCAATTTTTAGAAAATCATCTACTAGTTCTCAGAAGTTCAAATCTGACTTTAGATCTGAGATTCCATCTTCAATGACCTTCTCAAGGTCAAAAAGGTCTTTTTTCAATAGAGGTGTACGCGATAGTTCATAATGACAACAATATTCTCACCTTCCCTGTTGAAGAGCTCCAATTCCGGGAACAGATTTTTTACATCCAGATTTTTTCCCCATTGAAATATACTGAGTCCGATTTTGAAAACATTGTTTTAGCATTATTTGACATTCCTCTTCACGGATATTTGCACAATCGATAAAAATAAAGGTCCTTATGGCAATCTGCAAAGCGTTTTCACGAATATTTTTCGAAACTGACGATGATCATGAAATGTTCTTCGGTGACGTCAACGACTTAGTTCCCGGAAGCTGAGACTCGATGACTCGATATGAAAAAGAAGCAAGTTCTCGTGTATATAACGCGGGTTTGATGTCATGTTTATATATGTTTGACTTATATCAATTGTGAGGGTTGTAACTTGAAATTAGTATGACCTTTATCGTCCCGACACTTCGCAAAAACATGGTTTTAAGGTTGGGAGAATTTGGTTTAATCAACGGACCAATGAAAATTTGTCCCACTTGAAGTGATGCATTGCTGGAGATATTTATGTTTATGACCATGTTTTTGTCTATCGCGTATTAGTCTATTTGTCATCTACAAGTTCGCACAAATTCAAATGGCCTTTTTCTACTTGCCTCAAATTGACCATTTTTTCAAAATCATTCAAATCTGACATAAGACTGAACTCATAATGTTGTGGGCAACTAGATAGTGACATTTTGATATGTTAATGTCTTGTCTGTATTTTGCTTTAACTAAAAAAGCAATGATGGATTTTGTTAATATTTATATGTAAACTATTTTATATGACAGTTCATGTAAGTAAATTTAGCATGATTAGTAATATTGTTCTTTATATATTACTAGTTTTCTTTTTACAAAATTATATGGATCATTGCGTCATCACCTTGGTTACTATAGCAACCATAGAATGTTAAGTAGAAGACATATATACAGTCTGTTACACTGCTTCAAAGGCAAGCAGTTGAACCTGAAAAATAAGATATCTACAGACCATTGTGCCATAATATATAGAAAAATATATTCATATTGCACACAAATGACATTTGTATATTTCAGATTATTTAGTGTTTAGTGCAATAAGCCTGTGCCCTCTTGTAATTTGAGGTCTGTCCGCCATGTTATTTTTTGGAGAATTATTATGGTAGAGAAGCATCAAAATATAAGAGGTTACAGACTTTATGAGCCAATTTACAAGCAATCCAACATATACAAATGTCATTTGTGTGCAATATGAATATATTTTTCTAAATATTATTGCACCATATTATTTAGATTTCTTATATTTCAGGTTTAACTGCTTGCCTTTGAAGCAGTGTAACAGACTGTACATGAAACCCTGACAGTATAAGGGAATAAAATGGGGGCACATACCTACCAACTATGAACAAGATTGCTTCATTATTTTCTTAATTAGATATATTTGTGCAAAACTTTTTGAACAAGCCTTGTTTACATGATACATTGTTTTTTCTTAAATTGCATGACATGACAACAGTTGTTTTGAAAAGGATGTGGCAAATATATTTAATGCCATTGCCTATGTCTAATTTGTTTTGATGTCTCCGAAGAAAGAATAAATATGCTCATAAAATCAGTAATATAAAAGTGCATTAATATTTTGTGAAATTGAATCATACCTGATGCTTACCATTTTGTTTTAGGTTCAGATCAAGAAGCACACTAAGGAGATGGGCAAGTTCAGTTCAGTTACCATATCAACAGTAGAGGCAGAAGAAGAAGAACTTGAAGCTGTAAGTTTTTAAGTTTTACTTTAAAGTGTCTCACATATTCGATCAAAATTTGCCATGCAAACATGTTAGTCTACTTTACTGACCCCCCTTGCTGTAACAAGGAACCCAAAACACTTTAAAACGTAAACATAAACCAATTAGTCACTTCACTATGGAAGTGGGGGTGTTAGCAAATGTATATTAGGCCATAAGAAGTAGATTCTTTGTTTTGCGTCCTGGCAAAATCCAAATCATGCAAGGGTACAAGGAAAACAAACACAAACTCAAGAAAAAAACACAAACTTGTTTGCTGAGAAATATATACATTTTAGGGGCATAAAAAAGGATGACATCCCAATTTGCAGTGATTACAAACACATATCTATACATTTTATACAATATATAAAAATATAGCTATTATTCAAGGGTAAAAAATAAGAAAAAACACAATGTATGTCAAATAATTATAACACTGTCAATTTTGACGCACATCAAATTATCCGCCATTTCATCTGATTCTGAAATGCGATGGTACTTTCAGACCCTTGTGATTGCTATTTGGATGTGTTTTTTTTCTGATTTACTCAAAATCGTGCAAGCAAGGGGACGCAAAACAGAGGATCTACTTCTTATGGCCTTAGCAGAATACGCTGTGTGCATGGACTAACACAATATCAGTGGTCATTTACTGTGTCAACTTAGTAACCCTTGCATATCGTGCTCACTCAAGTATTGAATAATTTTTTATGATCTAAATGTTTGTGGTTTATAAAAAAAGTGATATATTTTAGTTAGAAATACATTAATTAATATATTCATTCAAACAGCACTAGAATGCGGGAAGAAAGAGCAATGGTGACAAAATGTAGACAGAATTTTCCGTAAGGGTTTCAAACCTTTCTGGACACAATCATACATGTATATAGTGTACTGTTATTTTTAGTGCTGTATTTATAGATATAATTTCACGTATTAAAATCATATTTTCCAGCAATGACTTCAAATCCGGAACCACACCCATATCACATTTTCTTCAATAACTCCAAACATGTGTAAACATTGACCATGTGCATATAAATTCAGATTTCACGAGCTCTTTCATATTCGAGTACCTCATACACCCCTGCATGGATTTGAGTTGGATTCGCCTTTTATACGTGGTAAAGATTGCGAGAATCTTTAAAGCATTTTGAAATTATTTATCAAACAATTGTTAATACACAAGGGTTATGTACTGGGAGGTTTTGGATTTAGGGTTTATCCAGAGGGATGCATATTAGATACTATCCAGAGGGATAAACCCCATTTCCAAACTGCTTTATCCCATACCCAGTAGTTTTTTTTAAAATCTAAAAAACTTTTTCAACATTTTTCAATTAATTTTCAATTTTTTTTCAAAATTTTTTCAAATATTTTCAAATTCTTTTTTCAATTACCGAAACTCGGAAGATATGCTGTGGTTGGGAGATATAAAGAAAGAAGGGATTTGATATGGGGGATATCACAAGGATGATATCAATATTTCCTGAGGTGAATAACGACCTTAAATCAGGGTCAAGAGCAATATCTACCTAAGGTCCTCTGTAAATGAAAGAAAAAATGTTTGACTAATCCTCTTCCTCTTCTTCATCTTCATTCTCTTCTCCTCTGGATCGTTTTGGTTTATTGATGATTCCTGGGCCATAATCATTATGGTCCTGCTTCGAGATACACATCTCCTTGAAGCTTGAGTTGGATGCCATTTTGAATCCACCCTTCCATGTGGAGTATTCTGGTGCTTTGGTAAATCAGGAGCCAAGGCATTGACCTCTTTCTCCATACATCCAGCGAGTCCATCAAACATTGTGCTTCAATCGACTAGTACAACAATAGCATAAAGGTCCTTGCGGATGTCCACGTTACATTTTATAATGCTGTCATTAGTGAGCTTGTGGATGCTAACACTTTCTTTTCCGATAAAAGGATGAGTCTGGGAATGAGTCTGGGTATCGACTTAGAAAATATTGAAAATTGTAATGTCTGAAAAACCAACTCAATTACACATATTATTAAACTTCAATATCTTATCCTTCTTCTGAGATTACAAAAATATTAATTTGTATCACAATTGATGAAGAATATTGGCATCAAAGACAGTGCATATCACTTTGTCAGAATTGAAAAAAAAATCAATGGCAAATATTAAATGAATTAATTATGCAAAAAGTTTGAAACTTATCTTCCAAAACATTGGTTACTTTCTTTGTATAGGCATTGAATGGTATTTCTGGATAAGTGAATTGGTGTTTATCTGGGTAATCAAGGGATTATAGTCACTCAAAGTTACTGAGCATCCAGTTTTGAGACTTCAATTGTGTTGGTGAAGTTACACATATTCCAGTCAAATTCATGCTGAGCACAACATTCCGGTTTCAATTTTATAATCTCTATACATGACCCTGGTGATGAAGAGTCAGAATCAATCAAAAAACCTAAACCGGAAAACTGTGCTCATTGTGAAAACTAAAAGTGAAGCAACTTTTTTTCTGATATTTCTCATATCAAATGGCAACCATCTTGTTTTTCCCCCTTCAAATTAAACTGGCGGGAAATTCAAAAATTTGGAAAAATTTTAATCCTTAAATATATTTTTCAAAAATATGATTTTCTCTTTAATTCTTCATGGGTCTTAAGTTATTTCTTCTTTGTATGTCATACATGTTGCCATTGGTGTTTTTTTCTATGATAATGACTATTTTTTTGTTTGTTAAGATACTTATTCTGACTCTCAGTAGGGGGTTAATTATGCATCAAAACTTGTGAAAAAGTAAATATACTTATCAAATATAACTAGGTCAGTAATAAAAACCATATTTCACATACATTTGACTGAGGGACCAAAAGGGCATATACCCAGACACATCCTTTGGCTGGAACAGTATCTCTGGACATTTGAATCTCTCGGCTGCGATCCTGATTGTCTGGCCATCAGGTAACTCATATTGCCTCTCATGATCATCATCAGTCTCGGCCCTCTTCAGCTCATCATCATAGTTCATTGCAACAAAGCAAAGTTTTTCTTTGATATCACGAACAATTTCGATTTGATCTCAGAGTACCCTTGCCCTCCTATGATCTTTAACATGTTCTTAGTAAGGTCTTTACCAGCCAGATCCAGACGCAATATAGCATAAGGGAGAGCATATCCTTCATAGATTGGTACAGTGTGGGTAACATCCAGCCAGCATCCAAAACAATTCCAGTTGTACGCCTAGAAGTGTGTAGAGAGAGCACAGCCTGGATAGCAACATACATAGCTGGTGAATTGAAGGTCTCGAACATGATCTCTGCCATCTTTTCAAGCTTGGCTTTAGGGTTGAGTGGAGCCTCGGTGAGGAGAACTGGATGCTCTTCTGAGGCTACACTGAGTTCATTGTAGAAGGTGTGATGCCAGATCTTCTCCATATCATCCCAGTTGGTGATGATACCATGCTCAATGGGGTACTCTAGGTTGAGGATACCTCTCTTGGACTGGGCCTCAGCACCTACATAGAAGTCTCTTCCCGTCTCATCTTTCTCATCATGTAGTTCTTTTCAGGAAACCATCAAATAAGGCCATTTTCTGCAGTTATTCAGATTTACAACTACTCGTTGTGACATTGATAACATATTCAAATTATAGTCAGATTCACTTGATTAATGTAGATTTGTTTCCAAAAAATGAGCGTTTAATGGACAACTCTTTGAGACCTTTTCATATATCTCAGTTACATGTAGTTGTAAGTGAAGCAGGAAGTGCACATGTGTACAGTTACACCATGCCTTCTTGTATTTTCAAAGCATCAGTTATGTTAAGTTTGATGCCTTGCTTTGAAATAACAGGATAGAATAGCATCAAAATACAAGATAGACTAAACTCGTATTCGCGAATGCAACTAACACCTGTTGGCTACCAGATTAATCTACAATATGAACTACTCATTGGAATAGTGACAGTCACTATTCATATTTGAATGAGTTACCCATAAAATAGTAGGTTAATTTGGTAGCCGACAGGCGTTAGTTGCATTCACGAATACAAGCAAAGAGGTTGTATACAGTCAAACTACAAATAATCCAAAATCACTAGTATTCAAAAGATAAAACTGCACTCAGTTGTCCCTTGATTTTGAATTTTGCAAAAAAATATTCATAAGTGAAGCAGATTGTGCATGATATACCACTGTTAGATTCCTAGCAAAAGAGGCATAACAACTGAGCAAAATGGAGACGCCAAGTCCTATATCTGATTGATACACATTTAGTATACTTAAAGTGTTTGCTAATGTATTTCAGAAAGAGATAGCTGATTCATATGCATCCAACGCTGCAGTGATACAGAAACAAATGCTCAGGAAAGGACTTGGGAAGAGAAAGGCTTTAGAACAGGTGAATTGGTTTTTATGTCACCAAAAAGTGGTGACATATTGTTATGGTCTCCGTTTTTTTGCGACGGCGGTTGGTGGTTGGCGTCCGGCGGTTGGCGTCCGGCGGTTGGCGTCTGTAACAATTTCTTACAACTTCCTATAACTTAACAAATACTGTTTAGACTGACTTCAATTTTTTTCTAAATCATCTACATGTTCTCAGAAGTTCAAATCTGACTTTAGATTTGACATTTGACCTTCAATGACCTTCTCAAGGTCAAAAAGGTCTTTTTTCAACTTGCTTCACATTGACTAAATTTTTTTTCAAAATCATCTACATGTTCTCAGAAATTCAAATCTGACTTTAGATTTGACATTTCACCTTCAAATCTGACTTTGGATTTGACATTTGACCTTCAATGACCTTTTCAAGGTCAAAAAAGGTCAAAAAGGTCTGTTTTCAACTTGCTTCAAATTGACTAAATTTTCAAAATCATCTACGTGTTCTCAGAAATTCAAATCTGACTTAAGATTTGACTTAAGATTTGACATTTGACCTTCAATGACCTTCTCAAGGTCAAAAAAGGTCAAAAAGGTCTGTTTTCAACTTGCTTCAAATTGACTAAAAAAATTTTTCAAAATCATCTACGTGTTCTCAGAAATTCAAATCTGACTTTAGATTTCACTTAAGATTTGACATTTGACCTTCAATGACCTTCTCAAAGTCAAAAAAGGTCAAAAAGGTCTTTTTTCAACTTGCTTCAAATTGACAAAAAAATTTTTTCAAAATCATCTACATGTTCTCAGAAATTCAAATCTGACTTTAGATTTGACATTTGACCTTCAATGACCTTCTCAAGGTCAAAAAAGGTCAAAAAGGTCTGTTTTCAACTTGCTTCAAATTGACTAATTTTTTTTTTCAAAATCATCTACGTGTTCTCAGAAATTCAAATCTGACTTAAGATTTGACTTAAGATTTGACATTTGACCTTCAATGACCTTCTCAAGGTCAAAAAAGGTCTGTTTTCAACTTGCTTCAAATTGACAAAAAAAATTTCAAAATCATCTACGTGTTCTCAGAAATTCAAATCTGACTTTAGATTTGACTTAAGATTTGACATTTGACCTTCAATGACCTTCTCAAAGTCAAAAAAGGTCAAAAAGGTCTTTTTTCAACTTGCTTCAAATTGACTAAATTTTTTTTCAAAATCATCTACATGTTCTCAGAAATTCAAATCTGACTTTAGATTTGACATTTGGCCTTCAATGACCTTCTCAATGTCAAAAAAGGTCAAAAAGGTATTTTTTCATCTTGCTTCAAATTGACTAAATTTTTTTTCAAAATCATCTACATGTTCTCAGAAATTCAAATATGACTTTAGATTTGACATTTGACCTTCAATGACCTTCTCAAGGTCAAAAAAGGTCAAAAAGGTCTTTTTTCAACTTGCTTCAAATTGACTAATTTTTTTTTTCAAAATCATCTACATGTTCTCAGAAATTCAAATCTGACTTTAGATTTGACATTTCACCTTTAATGACCTTCTCAAGGTCAAAAAGGTCAAAAAGGTCTGTTTTCAACTTGCTTCAAATTGACCAAATTTTTTTTTCAAAATCATCTACATCTTTTCAGAAGTTCAAATTTGACTTTACAAGTTCTCAGAAATTCAAATCTGACTTGAGTTTGAACTCATAATATTGTGAGCAACTAGGTGGTGACATTTTGTCATGTTAATGCCTTGTCTTTCTTTGTACTGCAAAATACATACATACAGGTGGGAGGTGGGGTTGTTTGAATAAATCCTACACCAGATGGGCAAGAATACATGCAGATACTCAATGAAGAATGTCATGAAGTGTGAAGGGAATAAATGATGTGCAAGTTTTGAAGAATGTTGAACAGTCCATTGAAGGTGGATATATATGAAAAAATAAGTCTTTACTCACCAATAGTTTGAAAATATGATAATATCCATAAATTGGTCGGATTTTTCATCCTAATCTAGCACAAAAATTGCTTCAAAATTTAGAGTTGTCTTCAGCGAGCATCTAAAATTGATTTTAATTCAGTTTGCTACAACAGCTTTTTTATTCAGCAGAATATAAGGATGTGATTGTTGAGATTGGATTCTACTTCCCTATTCTTTGTATCCAATTGCCACTAATTCAATTCAACACTCAATAAAATCCAGTTGTCAACCACAGTCAGTTACAGAATGTCCATTGTGTACTTGCAGGCTGAGGAAGCGAAGAAAATGCGAACAAAGGGAACCCTCATTGACAAATAGAGATGGGATTATGATTTAGAAGTGAATAAGGACACAAATAAGGCTAGTGTATAAGACTCAAAACTAGCAAAGGTGCTATCAATAGCTATACTGAAACAGAGATTTTCAGTGTCTAATACTAGCTTTACTGAAATATCAAGGGCTGTGAGAAGGGATGTCTAGGTATATACGAGAGTTGTCAATTGTTGGGAGAGACTCTCAATAGCCAAAGGCCTTGTTTTAAGTGACTCTTACTTGCTGGTCCTGCGAAAAGACATGCCTTAATGATTTTAGCTATAAGACATGACTGAATGCTTCTAGCTATGATTGAATGATTCTAGCTAAAAGACATGACTGAATGATTCTAGCTATAAGACATGACTGAATGATTCTAGCTATAAGACATGACTGAATGATTCTAGCTATAAGACATGACTGAATGATTCTAGCTATAAGACATGACTGAATGATTCTAGCTATAAGACATGATTGAATGATTCTAGCTATAAGACATGATTGAATGATTCTAGCTATAAGACATGACTGAATGATTCTAGCTATAAGACATGACTGAATGATTCTAGCTATAAGACATGACTGAATGATTCTAGCTATAAGACATGACTGATTGATTCTAGCTATAAGACATGACTGAATGATTCTAGCTATAAGACATGACTGATTGATTCTAGCTATAAGACATGACTGAATGATTCTAGCTATAAGACATGACTGAATGATTCTAGCTATAAGACATGACTGATTGATTCTAGCTATAAGACATGATTGAATGATTCTAGCTATAAGACATGACTGAATGATTCTAGCTATACGACATGACTGAGTTTGTGCACCAACATCTGTGAAGACTCTGTGGAATGGAGTGCTACCCTAGTTGCTGCTAGTCTTAAACGGGTTGAACTGATAAATGAGTTGCCACATTGAGAACTGTTAAGATAATAAAGAGAATGTCTCTGGTGTAAAAATGAAAGGAAGAGTAAAAATTCAATGATTACCTTTCCAATAATAAACACCTTTGACAGAAATTATTATTAATATATTGGCAAGATTGATGATGTCATTGGTTGTATGCAGCAATCTGCCCATACAAAAATATGATTAACTTATCGCCACTTTTGAGAAAGAACAACCAATGATTTCATCAATCTAGCCAATATATCATAGCTTCTTTGATGTACCAAAAGGTGGCAGTGTTTATTGGAAAGGTGTTTTGTGTGCTACCCTCACAGAGATTAAAAACTAATATTGAATGTTATGACATCTTAGAAATGCAAATTAAAATTTTTGTTTATTAAGATGGCTGTTCAGAAAGAATAAAAAAAGACTCAAACTTAAAAGTTCTGTATTAATTTAGTTGGTGGATTCACTTGGATTTGTTCTGAACTAATTGACTGACTATGAATATCACATATTAAAAATCAAGATTTTGAGTTGAAATATTTGTTTTAGTTTTGATAGATGCCTCTGAAGTATGGGTTTTTCACTTGTGATTTTGTTTTATTTTGAAACACATGTATACAAATATGGGTTGAGTTGCTTTCACGGATTAGGTTCTGTTGGGGACTCTGCATTTCAGGTGCGACTACATTGAATTTAACATGATAAATTGAATTTAACATGATGAATTGAATTTAACATGATGAATTGAATTTAACATGATGAAATGAATTTAACATGATGAATTGACTCAAAGAAGAGGACATTGAAAATCTTGGATATCTTAAACTTGCACACTAAGTTCTATTTTAATTTTATTGGTGAATTTGCTTCTTACCTAATTGACCAAAACCATAGACCACCCATTGAGATTTCCAATCCCTTCTCTCAAGTCCGTGCTATTCACATGTGATTTGTTTTAATTTTAGACATATATGGGAGGAGTTGCTTTCAATGATTATTTTTTCTACTGATTGGCACTCAGAGCTTTTCAGCTGTCGAAATGTTAAACAAATAAAGTGGATTTTCAAAATAAAGTAATTGAATAAAGTAATTGAATTAGTTAATACAATGGGGAAATTAGTATGACAACCAATGTATTCATCTACAACAATGTTGTATATATATTATAATCTTTATTCATCATTATTTATATATTTATACTTTATTTATTTATATAATTTACTGACTTATCAATATATACATACAGTATTTTTTATATTTTCATAACGAATCATAGTCCAGTGTATTAACAACGTCATTAGAAAATAGTAAGGTGGTATTGTCTATTTTCTGGTTCAAAATTATCAAGTAGTCTCTATTATTTAGAAGCATTTACGATGGACAATGGATGGGCCAGATTCATCGTATTCCTGCTTGGAGATCCACATCTGTTGGAAGGTGGAGAGAGAAGCCAAGATGGAGCCACCGATCCAGACAGAGTATTTGCGCTCTGGGGGTGCGATGATCTTGATCTTCATTGTGGGAGGAGCAAGGGCACTAATCTCCTTCTGCATACGGTCAGCGATTCCTGGGAACATTGTGGTACCACCAGAAAGTACAGTGTTGGCATAGAGGTCTTTTCGGATATCGACGTCACACTTCATAATGCTGTTGTATGTGGTCTCGTGGATACCAGCCGACTCCATACCAATGAATGATGGTTGGAACAGAGTCTCGGGACATCTGAATCTCTCGTTGCCAATAGTGATCACTTGTCCATCGGGCAACTCGTAGCTCTTCTCTAGGGAGCTTGAGCTGGCAGCAGTTTGCATCTCCTGTTCAAAGTCCAATGCAACATAAGCGAGCTTCTCTTTGATATCACGAACGATTTCTCTCTCAGCAGTGGTGGTGAATGAGTAACCACGCTCGGTAAGGATCTTCATCAAGTAATCAGTGAGATCTCTTCCGGCCAAATCCAGACGGATGATTGCATGAGGGAGAGCATAACCCTCATAGATTGGTACAGTGTGGGAAACACCATCGCCAGAGTCCAAAACAATTCCGGTTGTACGTCCAGAGGCGTATAGAGAGAGCACAGCCTGGATAGCGACGTACATAGCTGGTGAGTTGAAGGTCTCGAACATAATCTGTGTCATCTTTTCACGGTTAGCTTTAGGGTTGAGTGGAGCCTCAGTGAGGAGAACTGGGTGCTCTTCTGGGGCGACACGCAGCTCATTGTAGAAAGTGTGATGCCAGACCTTCTCCATATCATCCCAGTTGGTGACGATGCCATGCTCAATGGGGTACTTGAGGGTGAGAATACCTCTCTTGGACTGGGCCTCGTCTCCTACATAGGAGTCTTTCTGTCCCATACCAACCATGACTCCCTGAATACACAAAAGACAAACATAAATCCATGTTATTCTTACCACTAATTTTGAATTGAGGAAAGACCTATTATACTATTTCAAAATTTATAACAAAATGGTGTTTTTATCATTCATTTTATCATTTAACTAAATTATATTTTTCACGTTTTAAGTTTTTCACATTTTTGTTTAATTGGATTGAAAGCTTTTTAAAGCAATGCATTGATCCAAATGGATACAAACTTAACTGACCTAATTTTATGTCTCAACTTTTTCAAACTTTTTACCATATTTATGAAATTCCTCTAAATTTTCTCCGATTTTTGCAAAATTAACATACATTTACATTGTAATTTTTGGTATGATAATAGAGAAAAATACACATTAAACATTAAGAAGGTATAGGGATTATATGGAGCTAATAGAAAACCAATACATTAACTATAAACAAATTGTGATGTGGCTGGGCCTATATTCTCATCTTTTGAGGACAACTTAAAAATCAACAATGTTTAATTATTTGAGCAAAAAATTGGGGGATTGCATGCCTAAAAACTAATATGAAAACGATTTTCCCATGTGAAAATTAAATTGTAACTAACTTGAGTAGGCAATTATGAAGTTTATTCCTAAATGTCAAAAGAAACGTCTATGACATTTCATTCATATTATATTCATATATTTTGAGGATAAGTAAAATCCAAATGCCAATGGGGATAATGTATCCATTTTATATTCATGCTCTTTCAAGATAAAAAGTTCTGAGAATGTAAAAGAAATGGTCAATGTACCAGAAAGATTTTAAATTGGATTTACATGTATTCAGATATCATGTATGTTTAATGAATTATTTTTAAAAATTGCCCACTATTTTCAATTACCCTTTTACAGATTTTACCACTGTGATACTCAGATATTCAAAAATTAGTTAAATCAAGTTTTCATAAATAGCTTGCCAAGTTTTTGCTGTCATGGTTTTCAGTTATCCAATTTAGTTTAAAACTTTGGGGAATGTTTTTGGTTGCCAATTTTTTCTAGTTTGACTTGTTCAAAAACTGCATGCTTTTTGTTGAGTGACTCCTATTGGCTGTAAATGATGGTCATACACTGTGTCAAGATTCACATGAGAAACTTTGACCATATATGGTAAATAGATTAAATGGGTGACGCTCTTTATCTAATAGCTGGGATGAGCATTTTGACTGTAACATGCTGATCTCAGTGTTGCCATATAAGGCATATGCTGTTGCATGGTTCTGGACAAAATATAGTATACTTATTCAAAATATGAAATGTTTAAGCTTTATTTTACAAAAATAAGTATGGTGCTAAATGATGCAGAATTATTGTTAAAGTGGAAATATAAATAAAGAAACACAGCAGATTAATGTGCAAATGTTGGAAAAACGTGTTGAAAAGGGTCTTAGAATGAATTATCTCATATTCCAGTTTTCATTGGATTATCATATTGTCTAATATTTATTGTACCTTCTACATTTTTATGTCATTTATCTTCTTTCACATTGGCAATTTGGACCATATTTCTAATGTAAATTCATTTATCTTCTTTCACATTGGCAATTTGGACCATATTTCTAATGTAAATTCATTTATCTTCTTTCACAATGGCAATTTGGACCATATTTCTAATGTATATCAATAAATATTTCGACCTCGATTTTTGTAATGAATCATATATATTAGACTGACATTGCAATCAATAATGTAAATAAAAGAGTCATTATGCAAATAAAAAATGCAGTCAAAGAATCATAATTAATTTCTTTTAATTTTTAATTTTTTAAGATCGTTGATATCAATAGACACAACAATAATGATTTGAATGAATGTGATTGAATGTGAAGCATTTTCTGATGTTCTTGACTATTTTTAAAGTTTTTACCTGATGTCTTGGTCGTCCCACAATTGAGGGGAACACTGCTCTTGGTGCATCATCTCCTGCAAATCCAGCTTTGCACATTCCTGATCCATTGTCTACAACCAAGGCGGCTACATCATCGTCACACATTTTGCTGGTTTTGTGAATTTATTCTAACTAAAAATGAAATAATTAATCTGATGTTGGCTCTTCGCTGAGATATTGTGAATGAATAGCTTCACTAGTCTGAATGCATTTATATATACAATTGTTTGGGTCAGTGAGTTCCTAGAAATGAGAGACAATGCATGCCCATATATGGTGTTGGCAATCCTTATATGGTAATCAGATAAGTCTTGTTTCTGTCTACATGTAGTTTATATATATTCACCTGCATACTTGTCTATTTCCTTTACATATAATTAACACTTATCGAGTGTTGTTAAATAGCTTTAAATTCCAGTAAAATTTCTTTACAATTTGATACACAAAATATACTATTTCTGTCTATCAGTATTATATTTCTTGCTAGTTTCACTGTATGATATATTAATAAGAGAAAAAAGCATGATGCGATGTAATACTTTATGTACAGGGTTATAACAGCATTATATAGATGGCTTCATGCTGGTGGGACTATAATAATCTCTCACTTGTTGGCTAGCAAATTAGATTAACCCTTCAGAAGCTGCTGGTTATGAACCCCTGCTTTCTCTGCTGATCATATGCATGTGAAACAAAATTATTTTTTTCTCTCATTTACAGGGCGTAGCCAGCAATCGTCAAGGTTTGTGTGATTTTTGGGGTTTGCATCACTGTTCACCACTGGAAATTTAATAAATTTGCATTGTACTGGGTGGGCCAATAAAAACATCCATATTTTTTATTTTTGTAATATGATCACTGGTATGTTGGAAATATCCATAAATTATATATCATTTGAAGGATAATTCAATTTCCGACAAAGTGATGTATGATTCATAATATGTGAATGGCTATTGGTGACTCCATGGTCATTTCCGTATTATGGGGTAGTAACTGTTACAGTCGAAAACAACATTTCACTGTATGTTTTGAGCTTATACATAATATTGCATTGCTTAATCAACACTTTTAGGCTTTTGCATATAAAGAAAAGGTATTGTAGTTGAGTTTTATTGTTTGTAAATGTTGTATAGCTCTAGAAAAATCATGGAACCTATTTTTATGCATTGTAGTTTGTTATAAAGTAAGATTGTTAGATAAATTGATATTTGCTTCAAACATGTTTTGCAAAGAAACTCAGTTGAAATTTAACCCATCTCATGATAATTTTAGCCTATAATAGGCATTATCTCCAAAATGTCTTGTAAATATGAACTATTTGATGCATATTTCTGTGCGTTATTTAGGCTATAAAATACAAGTACCTATCAAAATGGTAAAAACTCAATAAAATTGTATATCTAAAATAATTTGCTTTCATTTGATACATAAATCAACAATTTTGACCTTCTATAATTAAACTTATATCCCTAAAGCTGACATAGGGGTTATATCTGTGTGGTCAGTTTTTAGCATTCCGTATTCAGCAATCGGTATATCATGATTTTGACCCCTGTGGTAATCGAAACGTTGTTTAAAACAAATTCTTATTTTTGTGAAATAAATTATATATTATATTGTTGGAAATTGAATTGTCCTTCCAATGATATATGATTTAAACATTTGTCTGCAATATTAAAAATGTTATAGCAAAACCAAAACATGGACGTTTTTGGCCCACCCTGTATATGGTGCATTTTAAGCATTTGTTAATGTTGTGTCGACAAATTTTACAAAATTGCTTTTTTCCTTTTTTTGTGGGGGTGAGGGGGACTGCACCAACATTACAAATCCACCAAAATTGTTGCATGCATTTGAAACAAAATCATGCAATTCTGTCATGCAATATCTTCAGTGAGTTTAGAAAACATGATTGCTATGGTGATGATTTTGTTATTTAGTTATTTATTAAATCCCACACTCAACATGAAAATACAGTTCTAACCCCTCCTACCCATCCCCTATGACAATACAGCAGCAGATGACTTAACCCAATTTTCCGCTTCTGGTCTATCAAACAAACTGGGCTAATTGCCTTAACATTATCCTAGATGATAATACAGGTAATAAGCTATTAAAGATCTAGTTTACCCTCTCCCACCCCCTCCCCCATGACATTGTAGCAGCAGATGACTTTACCAACTCCCCGTTTCTGGTTTATAATTATAATTCAGACAATTATTGCCATGATCAAAGAAAATGGGCTACTGGCCTCAATAATACCCTGGGAAATAATGCAGGCTTTCATTAAGATTTTGAATTTCTTCTCCCCCTCCCACCCCCTCCTCCAATGACACTGTAGCAGCAGGTGACATTACTTAACTCTACTTCTGGTCTATAATTATCAAACATACTGGGCTGCTGGTCTCAACAATATCCTGGAGCTGGATAAATACTGCTTATATTTCATTAAAGATAAAAGAGAGTTGAGTAGGGTGAGCTTTTTGAAAAAGTGTCACAAATAATCTTTTTGCTCATATCATTCCAAGTCATGCTAATTTTCTGAAAGGCTCCACATTTCTAATTTACAGATTTATAATTACTGAGGTTATATGACTTATTTTGCAAAACATCTGATGGATTCAACTTTTTTAATTCTAATGAATTTGGACATCTCTGCATTTTAAATTGTCAATAACTTCTTTATTCTATCAGATATCTAAAAAATACATTTAATGTTGTTTTTGCTGGTACTGTAAATGCTTTATAAATTCACATTGGATGGATCATTTGATGATGTAAAATGTTTCCAGATTTGTGATAATAATCTTTACTAGTATTTGCAGAAATTGTTTGAAATATCTGAGCCCAAACTGTTTTTCATCATCAGAGCTATGTTAAAAGAACTTTCTGCAAATGTCTTGATTAAGGTGAGCTTAGCAATGTTCCCCAATATGATTTAGTGGCTGTCCCCTTTTTTAAAATGTGACATAAACTGGGGGAAATAATTCATGTGCAGAAAGTATGTTATGTCCAAAAGGCGGATTATAAAACATCTTATCTATCATATATTTCCAGATGACTGGCTCAGGAAGTGTAATTCATGTGAACATGTTTATCCCTGGCATTGGATCATGTATATTTCATATATGGGCATGTGTATAGGACCCATTAATATTTATTGCTAAAAATAGGCAAGTCTTGGTTGACTTAGCAATATCTTTGTTTTTCAATACAGAGCCGTTTTTCCCAATGAATTTTTCTCTTTTTTATAATTGATGGGCTTTCAATAGCAGGGGGCGAGTGTCCGAAATCGCCGTTTGTTTTCGATATTTCGCCGTTTGTTAGAAGTCAAATATTGTCTAAGTTTTGGGGGAAAATTTAAAGTCGTCTATAGCCTATCCTTTATTTTATTCAGCGATCTTGTTTTGCACTTCTATGATTTGTAACTCAATTTCGAACTGCAATGGAACTCACTATATTTCGTAAAGATCACATGATCCCATTGTAGTAGTTAACAACGGAGTAATTTTTACCCGTTTGGGCTATGCATTTTAGATCACTGTCTGACCACTGTCATGTGCATAATAATTCAAATTCCAACCTTTGGTATAATCAGAGTTGTTTTTTCCACTGGACATATGCAGTTACATGTATGATTGATATAACTCTGTCCAAACAGCCACACTACAGTCTTTCCAATGGGTGTAAAATTGTGTTAATCAGTTAAAGGCCCCATATAAAGTTTATCCACTTTGGCTTATATTGTTGTCTTATCCAATGTTATCAAAGTGTGAAATGTGAAACTTTTCATGAATTTCAAAAATGTTTTTTGAAGGACTTTTTGTTCAAAATATCGTGAATTTATTTAAAACTAACTTTTAGAGGTCACACTTATCCTTTAAAGCGAGAATTCACACCGATGCATAGCAATCATCCTCACTTGTTTTTTGGCGACAAAATCAAGAAAATTGGTTGATAGATGGGCGAGCAATGAAGTTATCCATGCATGAAAGTGGTTCAGGGAAAGATGCATTTCAAAATTTTAATTCTCATAGAAACCAATGGTAAAATAATATTAAAAACATAATATATTCATCCCTTTAACCTGGTAGCAGTCAACATTGGTTTATTTTTTAAGTTTAGCATATTTAGAAAAGATTGACATTGAAAAATATTGCCACCTAAGTGATGTCACGATGTGGTCACTTAGGTTGAAAATATTTTCGATATGCTAAATCATTGAATTTGCACATTAGATATAACATTTTATTTTTAACATAGTGTGTCCGTTGTTCAATCTTTATATTGGTGTTAAAAAGATATATAGGTTCTCATATGAGTACCTGTGCAAGATCGTCCATTCTTGATGAGCTTTGATAATTCTTCTTTATCTAGTCGCAGACGAGATAAAGAAACATTATCAAAGCGACTAGTGTCGTAGGAATTATGAATGTAGTTTCGCACAGGTGTCAACGGAACCAAACAGTGAACCCCGCTTTCCCGAACCTTATCTTCTTCTACCTTATCATCCTGGTGTCTCGTTAATATCACCCTTGTAATTACAATGCGAAGTTACTTAAGCATGATAAAAAGCGTATGTGTGGATGGGGGGGGGGGGGGGGGGGGGTTGACCCACCACTTACCAAAAGCTGGAACATGTATACCTTTATACTTAACCGGCCAAGTATTAACAGTACAAAAAGGAGAAAAAATCCATCAGGTCCATAATTATACACGTTCACGTACAAGTTTAAAAAAACGTGTATCTTAAATTTATTTAGAACTACGCCTTTGTACCAGCGACACACTTTCACAATGAAACACAATGACGAAAATTGCAACTTTAGGATCTTGAAAAAAGGTGCAATATCCTTCCTGGTTAGAATAGGTTTCGACTTTCAACTAAAAACACTATATAAAATAACTATCTATACACCATCAATGCGGGGTGTCACATTCATTGCAACACACCTTGCAACAATGTCTTATGAGGGAAATTTCTTATATTGAGAAGTTTATCATCTATTGCAATCGAATACTTGTAGCTACAAAAAGCGAATTTGTTTGAGCAGTCTTAGCTCGACATATTATAAAGAAAAGAAAACAATATTTACACCATGGTATTCTTAGTAGACTGTTCAATATGAATTTCGAAGCTTAGCCAAACATCAGCTTTCTAACAAAGATCATCAAAAAAGATTTTATCAA